AATAATAATAATAATAATAATAATGATAAAAATAGATAAAAAATAAAGGAGTTCTGGGGCGTGTTTGTAAACACGTAGTGCCCGCATTGTATGCGACATTATGATTGATGGCAATTCCTATCTCAAAATTAAATGAACCGTTTGAATAAAAGAAATAAATCATGTAAAAAATAATTGGTGAGAGCGAAGACGCTCCATAGGTGCCGGGCTGGAGAGCTTTGTTACAGGCTAGCACTTTGTATATTTACTAGCTTGATGGGAACAGAAAACAACACTAGGCGACCTCTGCAAGCATTCACTAAGCGTTTACTAACGTGTTTTAAGGGAGTAAGGCGGCAGGAGTGGAACAGGTGCAAACATGCCAAACAATCTAGATTTCCACTGTTTTTCTCCTTGGTAGAACAATCAGTTAATATTCCTCAATGTACAAAGGCCTGGCTAACGAACAATAAGATTCATGCACAATATTGTCAACAGGAAACACCTACGAGCCATTAAAATTAAGTGTCTCGCTTTGGTGGATATCGATAAATTGTTAGCTAGCAGAAGGTGATGTTTAGAAATTGGAAAAGCAAAGTCAGTTAACAATTTAAAGTTGTCAACACCAAAACAAATTCAGCCGCTCCGGTTTACAGCCATCACAACACACGTTTGGCCTGCCCTGATTGTTAATTTCGATGCCATACGACGCCCTCTTAAATCGGTTAGTAGTACATGCAATATACCCCGGCTTTGCGGTATCCACTTGACTTGGATTTAATCCACGCGAACTTCACGATTCCTGACCAACTCATCAAAACAAGAACCACAGATAAATAGACAAATAGACAAACTTTTAACTGACAACTCACAATAGCAGCTCCTCTTTTTCAGACCCAATGTGGGAGACATGTCTGCATGAAAGAGGGGAGGGAAGGGTTGACAGAAATATATCACTGGAATATTATGACAGTTCCAGTATTTATCTCCAGTTCTTTTAGAGAGAGGCGAAACAGCTGATACATCGTTGCCAACGCACCTGGGTTAACACGCCCGCTGTAGCAAGTCGAATGTGTCTTCTTGGCATCTGGATAAACATGGCAGGGTAAGCAGAGGTGGCAGAGGGGGGAATGGAGGGAGCAGTTGTAAGAAAGGGGGAATGGTAAGAGGGTCACCATAGGATCATCTGTTGCTATTGTTGATTGATCTAGTGTTAAAAAATTTAATGCTTGTTTGTCCACAGACTTAATTACATCACTTAACACACTATCGGCTAATTTTTTCTCACCGTTTTTCTCATCACTTTATGGTGTCCTTTTCTGACTTCTTCAAGAAAAGATTGTTTTTCTCATAACACAATTTTATTGCGTTTTTTCATTTCCAAAATTCCATGCACAACGTGGTGCATGTGTAAGATGCAAATTTGCAGTAGCTCCAGTGTACTAGAGTCATAGAATTAATCAGAGCGCTATATTGGGTTGTTATTTATATAGTAATCTTTTATTTATTGTTCAGTTGTGTGAACTTTTTCCTTGGTGTACTACTTGTCAGGGTATTTTACCAGCTCATGATATACCATCCTCGAGTATGTATGAGAATGCTGAATAACAAGAGAGGAGTAAGGGCAAGAGAATAGACCCTTCGCAGGATCCGGTCACATGGTACAAAATAACACATGATGGGACACAAGCTGCACAGTGGGACTTCCTAAACAAAGGCAGCTCAAGGTGGACTGGTACGAGTTGCTTTGTTTTGGAAGTCCCACTGTGCGACTTGCGTCTCAGCACGTGTGATTTTGTACTATGTGACCAGATCCTGTAAAGGGCCTATTAACGGATTCGGCTAGTGTGTTTACATCCTTGTTGTCACTCAATTCAGATCATGTGATGATTCATTTGGGAGGTTACAATTAATCTGTTTGTACATACTCCCATGTAATCAGGTGAGTTTAGCAAATTGCACAACTGTAACCTCTCAAATGAATCATCGAGTGGTATGAATTGTGTGGTGACAAGGCTGTAAACACGTTAGCCGAATCCGTCTATTTCCCATTTACCCTAGGGAAATCCCTCTCGGTTTTGAAAATCCCAGGTGGGTTTAGCTCGCGCTCACGATCCTGTGACGAGGATTTTTCACACGCAGACTACCCTAGATTGTCATCCTCCAAGAATACACCCACGCAACGCTCGTGGTAACATTATCCACTGGAGTGCTGAGTTCCTTGGGTACCTGGGCACCGGGATTACTTCGGTAATAAGGCCTATGAAGAGGATTAACTAAGTTACTCTTTATCTTCTTTTATGAATAACAAAGTACGAGACCTTCAACTTGGATTTGTTATAAACAGCTCATCTGGCAGGCAAAATAACCTTTCGATTTTTACATCTCTAGTGCATGAAATGAGTGACAGGCGATGTAGCGGTGTGCCGCCAATTCAAAGAACTATCAATCGGTAACATACTAACAAATATTGACAATTATTGAAGCTGTAGAGCGCATGAATAGAAAAAACTCGAGGAACAAGAGAGCACTACTTTATATTTCTTATGTCAAAGTTAACGTGATAACTGTGTATAGTTTCTGCTGACTCAATAAATGTCAATGAATGTTCAAATAGAAAATCTTATTAATTAATTCAGTTTACAAAGTCTTCCAATTTATCCGATGTCTCTTGATAGTTTACAGTTTTGGACAAGGACTTAGAAAAGAAACTTTCTATGAAGGCTGACATGGTATCCTCTAGAGCAACAAATGGTTCCTTTTGAGTTGCTTTACTATCATGTTGCTTCTGTTCTTCACACTCTTCAGAGCCAGTTAAATCCACAGTTTCTGTACGCCTGTCTACCCTAGAGGAAATAACTGGCAGAGAGTGAGACTTTGAAGTGCGGGCACGACTCTGCCTGATGCTAGCTGATTCGTATCCGCTTTCAGCATCGCCTGAAGACTTGTTTGGTCGTTTCCTCTTAGAGACAGGCAGCCTCTCGTAGTTCCGCCTCGGACGTTTGGATTGAGGTTGTGCGGCATCTTCCATATCGTTTAAGGTGCTGTTAAGAAGACGAACAAAGACAGATTCCAAATGATCCGATCTTGGTTTTGAAAGTAACTCACAAAGCCTTCTCATAGCTGTGATCAAACCTCGTGAAGGGTTTTGAAGACTTTTTACGAGGCCAAAGTGAAAGGGCTGAAATGAATTGCACGCATTTAAGCCACTAGGTGGCTGATATAGGCTATCAGACCAGTAAAGCTGGGGCATGAATGGAGTTGATGGCGCTGACAAGGGAGCATGTGCATTTATGGTAAGATCTGGCTCAAAGGGATCCATTTCATCAAGAACATCAAAGACATCATCAAGACTTGGTGCAGCATCCAAGCTCGAGGGTAGAATCTCTGAGTCAATGCTTTCGGAAGATAGCTTTCTTTCAATTACGTCTGACACGCTTGACAAACCAGAGGAAGCCGGCGATCGCCAAGAGCCATCAAAACACATTTCCATTGAATTAAAATCTGATGACATTCCATTGTCCACTGCAGAACACACACGTATCGGCCTTGGAGGTATAATGCTTTTGACATCGTTAGTGTAACCTTCAACACAACGGTGTTGCAGTCTGGAAGGGCTGCAGGTCCCTAAAGAATTCGTTGCCCTCTCGATATCCCGTCGGGAGCCCCCTTGATCAACTTGATTGGTACAAGTTCCGAGTGCACTATTCCAAACAGGATTGCGGAATATGTTGGTCTGGCTTTGTTGCGATTGTTGCGGTTTTGCCTTCATCTCAATCTCCTTTTTCTAATACAAAAACAAAAACAAGTTTTAATTTAACTCTCTCATTCAGTAATACCTTCAGATAGAGGTACAATAGCCGTTCAATGGTATTTCCACACCATTGGTTAACTCTTTGCTAGGTAATTTGTAAGTGCAAAGTCAGACTATGTTTAGCATATTTGCATAGGGGTGCCAATTACGAAATCGAGGATTCATGCAACCCAGGTAGCTTGATTTCCAGTCGTCCAAATTATCTTTTAAAATCTGTCTTAATTTCAGACACAATTCTAACAATTAAATACGTTGTACTCGCTGGCTCGACTTATCTTCTTGATATTTCTCTTGAGTTTTCTTTGCATTAGTTACCATGATTACAAATCATTACACAGAAAGTGTCTATAATAGATTAGCCTATTCAATTTTGCATGTGGTTCAAAATGTGCTTGTTTCAGCGTGTGAGTCCTATCTCAAATAACGTGCCTGAAGAAAACGATGATGGACATTCTCCGACGGAAACTTCTGCCTTCTTTAATGCAAATGTTAAAGGAGGAGCAAATTTGAATATAAATAACTAGTAAAAGCTAATGAGCACTACAATAGACTGAAATAATAGAAAAGGGGGCATAGACTGAGCAATCTTCGCTGACGTCTTTGTTTACATTTTTCCTCACTAGCACACGACGGCCTCATGATAATAAAAATTGACTCGAAACATTTGAAGAACTTGTGAAACTTAGAAAATGGTGAAATCTTTGGCTCTTTGGGTGTAATATTCATGGAGAAATGGATTTTAAAAAACTGCAAAAGTTTTGGGTGGCAAAAGCGCCAATGAGCTCATGTATTCTTTGTAAAAGTTTGAGTTTTTAAACCCGTGTCGCACAAAAAAGTATTCAATACATTGGACTCAAAGTTAACCGTGCTATGCCATTTCAACATTCAGAACTGATATTTTTGTCCCTTGATCAGAAATTGAATTGCATATGCTAATGAGGCAAATATTGGAAACAAAGAATTCTCCTGCAGGCGTAATTAACCATAACTATGAATTAACTAAACATGTCGAAGTTGCTTTCTGCATTTTTCCCACAGGATGTGCACCGCTCTCCAGCTTAATAGAGGAGAATCTTATCGTAAATTCTAACATTATAGCTGTATCTCTATCTGTATCTACATGTGCTTTGTACTTTTCTAATTTTCCACCTGTTTACGAGTATAAAGCCAAATTGGTCATTGCAGCTTGGCAAAATAGCATTTGCAAATTAAGTGTCCTCGACTTCCTTTCTAGAAAACTCAACAAAGTTTACACGATACGTTCATTAAAAACGACCATCCTAAAACCTTTTCTTTGTTCCTGAAAACCGCATTTACAGGAATTCTTTCGGTTTTTGGATTAAGGGACCCAAGGCTAAAATTTGAGAAAGTTCTTTAAAAACGCACCAGAAATTTAAGGCGGACATGCCACTTTAGCACAGATGATAATCATATCATAAGACAGTACAGGGGACAGTCCATATTCTATGCTAGTACGGTTCGTCTGGCGTGAGGTACATCAAGACCTCACCGATGGAATCTCATTTAACACGTGTCGGTTCCTGAGCTAGGGTTTCCGTTTCATGTTTTTGTAAGTGGCCATTTTAAGGATTATATTCAATTAAGGAATTTCATGACCAATAAGTTCGTGTAGAACTGCAAACAGATTAGCATAAAGATGTATCAGCAAAGCCTGAGCCAGGTTTTGAACAGTGTTTGCCTCTGATTTGTCACCAAAAGAAATGAAACTAAAGAAGTACGATGTAAATACCAGTAATTGTCGATCGAAGCATTCCGGAATCCTTTCCTCAGTCCTGCAATCTAGATCAGTCATGATCAGTTCTTGGGTTCTTGGGTAAGGGTGGAATAAATAAAATTGGTTGTCTGAATTTTATTCATTCCACCCTCACTTATCATGCAGAGACAGTTGTGGTTTGTGTTCACTCACTTACAACTTATATTACTTCTTACAGTCACGTTTGCCCTTTGACAATAGTGATGTTAGAAAACATCGGAAACTCGCACAGCTATGATTTCTTTTATCCCTTAAAATGAAGTTTATTCTCAGGCTATGCGATGGCAATGATTGTTATTTAGATTTTCATTTTCACTAGACTTACAATCCTCTTGAAGTTATTTGGCCTATGCTGAGTACCTACTGAACTACTTAATTAGTATTTGCGGTTTTTTTGTTGTGAGACATGACCACAGAGTAAAACAAAATCAAAACAAATCTTCCAGACTTATTAAACTTGACCTTACCCCTTGTGGAGATTAGGCGTAACTCATCTTAAAACCCCTTTTAAGGCTTCAGTGCACCCTTTAGGTTTCCACAAGATCATTTTCTCTTGGTTTCCAGTAATGAAAATATGTTTTTTATGTCGTGCTTGAGTCAATCACACGTATCAGTACTTTAATTTGGGCGGTAAACAAAGCCGATATTTCAGAGGGCTGTCATCGATTTTTCCAACCTCTACAATTATTGTTGTACTAAATATATATCTTCAGCATATCCTATACCTAGGGAAATAAACCAAGTGGTATTTCAGCGAGCCATTTTAGGTAAAATAATTTTTCTATATCAAGTTTGGTAGATCTTGGTAATAATAATAATAATAATAATAATAATAAT